AAAATAACTGTTCTTTCCAAATAGTGTGTGTGGGGGGGTGGAGTTCAGACACCACACGGTGTCTGGGAGGAACCTTCCTGGGCTGTGCCTTTCCCAGCCTGGCATCTGAACTTCCATGGAAAAAAATAATGTGGCGCTGCAGATGGGGAGGAAGAGCCTGAGAGCTTCCTTTCCTCCCAGTTTGGGTGCTGACCTCCCGTTTCTGTCCCCGTTTTCTGGCTCATCACAAAACTCAGGCACAGTCACCGTTCCAGGTGCAGGGTGCCCATCAGGATATCACATTCCTTAGCTAAATGGGATAAAATCAGCTCCTTTCCCCGTGTTTGGAGGGAAGCTGTGGCTGCCCCTGGATCCCTGGAAGTGTCCAAAGCCAGGTTGGACTGGGCTTGGAACAACCTGGGAGAGTGGAAGGTGCCCTTGCCCATGGCAGGGGGATGGAATGAGATGATCCTTTTTTTCCCTTCCACCCCAAACCATTCCAGGACTCCGTGGTTTCCTCTGGATGTGGAGAGATTGCCATGGAAGTGGTGCAGCTCCTTTTTCCTGCAGCAGAAAACCCTCCCTGAGTCCCACAGGGGCAGGGGATGGATGTGGTGTGTTTTTATATCCACTCTCACATCCAGCTTTACTCTTCCCTTCGTGGGCCTGGAATTTCTGGCATTAACTTTGGAGAGGGAAAGGGACCACAGAACCTTTGTGTGCCAGAATTGGTTCTGAAGAGACTCACAGGGTGTGTGTGGAGGGGGCTGGTAAAGCTTTTTAGTGATCTGTGATTTCCCAACCATCAGCCAACTTCGGGAATAAAATGGAATAAATAACAGCACGGCTGGGATATTTTTTTTTTTTTTTTAAATTTTTTTTTTGAGGCAATTTATTATGAGCTCTAGAAATTGCCTGAAAAGAGCCAGTTCCATCTGGGTACTTGGAAATTTGGGAATAATTGGAGGGTTATTATAGGGTGGAATTAGTCGAAGCATTTATTTACAGATTTTTTTTTGGCCTCCATCTGCCCCTTATTAATCCAGGGAGGCAGCTCTGAGCTGGGCTGACAGCGAGTTGTAGAATCATGGAATGTTTTGGACTGGAAGGGAAGTTAAGGATCATCCCATCCCACCCCTGCCATGGGCAGGGACACCTTCCACCAGCCCAGGGTGCTCCAAGCCCCATCCAGCCTGGCCTTGGACACTCCCAGGGATCCAGGGGCAGCCACAGCTTCTCTGGATGTCCCAGAGATGCAAATCCAGCATTCTCTGGTTTGGACATAATGAAGAGGGGGTTTATTGGATGTGTTGGGGGTTTTTTTTGGAGTACAGGCATTCTCCTGGCTCTCTCAGCTGTGCTGCTGTGGTTTGTGTGCAGGCAGAGCTTTGCTGATGTTGGTGACAGCTCTGGGATGGGGGTGTTTGTTTGGAGGGAGGGACAAAATGCACCAAACCCTTTTCCTTTGACAAACTGATGGCTGGGTAATGCCATAATAAATAATTCCTCTGCTTGCAGCCTGTTTGCTTCCAACCAGAGCTGAACATTCATACTGCAAGTGAATATTAATAATCCAGGGAACTTGGGAAGATAGGAACAGGCCCATGAACAGGATGGAGGCAGCGCAGGGGGTGGGTGCTGGGGGTGCTGCTGGGGGACAACTGAGGGGAAAAGACAAAAAAAAAAGAACAGGAAAGCCTTTCACAGCAACAACAGGAAAGGAAAACTGGCAGCCAGGAGGGCCAGGACCTAAAGGCGCTCCAGGAGAGCTGGAGAGGGACTGGGGACAAGGCATGGAGGGACAGGACACAGGGAATGGCTTCCCACTGCCAGGGGGCAGGGACAGATGGGAGATTGGGAAGGAATTGCTGGCTGGGAGGGTGGGCAGGCCCTGGCACAGGTTGGGCAGAGAAGCTGTGGCTGCCCCTGGATCCCTGGGAGTGTCCAAGGCCAGGTTGGACGGGGCTTGGAGCCACCTGCAATAGTAGAAGGTGTCCCTGCCTCCCTGCCCATGGCAGGGCGTGGAATGGGATGAGTTTTAAGGTCCCATCCACCCCAAACCATCCTTGGATTCTGTTGATTGCTGGATTGCTCCCCAGGGGATGGTTCCAGGCAGCTGGAGCTGCTGCTCCAGGCATGGAATAGCAGAACAGCACTGTGAGCTCAGAGCTGGGGACTGAGGCTTTGCTGGGGGAATGGAACGTGAAGGAAAAGCTGGAAAACGCAGCAGAGCTGGAAGAAAACCTGGGAATTGATTTCCCTTCCAGGGGCTGATCATGTCAGCACCTCTCAGCACCGGCTGTTCCCTGACAGGTATTCCTGAGAAGCCCAGGAATGTGAGTTGTTCATCCTGAGAGGCTCTGAAATAATCCGTGCCCTCGGGTTTGTTAGGGAATGGCATAAACGGATTGGAAGGACAAATGCTATTCCTGCAGTATTTATCCCTCCAGTGAGCTTCCAGAGGAGTGGAACAGAGTATGAGGCTGCTTTTCCTGAGATCCAGCTGATACATTTTTCGTTGGTAATAGGAGGTATAAAATTCTTCCTCTGGAATGCTGCTGGGAGGGGGCAGGATGGTGGGAATAGCCCTGCTGGTGGGGAGGGGAGAGGCCTTCCCCTGGCCATGGGAGTGCCTGGGATGGGGATGGGGATGCAGGTGCTGACAGGGACGTGGATGCAGATGGGGATGTGGGTACGGATATAGATGTGGATGGGCCTGGAATGCCGATGAGGATGGGCATGTGGACATGGATGAGGATGTGGGTGCAGAAGGCTGTGGGGATGTGGATACCATGAGGGTGGGGGTGCACATGCAGATGGAGAGGGGACAGGGATGCAGCTGTGGATACAGATGTGGCTGTGGATGCAGATGCTGGCCCGTCCTGTTCCCAGTTCCCCTTCCAGCCCTGGTGACGTCGCTCACCCCCATGCCCCCTGTTACACCCCCAAGGGCACTCTGCTGACACACCTCCCCACTAATCCTCTTTATAAAGTTCTTTATTTTATGTTCCCCAACACCCAAAGAGCCGTGGGAGGACCCCCAGCCCTGCAGGAACCCGGGATGCAGCGGGAAGGGCCCCGGTGCCTCCCTCACCCCCAACAGAACCATCCAGGGCACAAATAAGTGCCTTTTCCAGACAGAGGGATTTGCACTGTAAGCAGTTTGTTCCCTGGAGCAGCAGAGTTAACCAGCCATGTGCTCCACACAGCCCATTCCCAATCCCAATCCCCTCTGGACACATCCAGCCCCTGGAGAGGCTCCTGTGCAGGGTCAGGGCTGAGGCAGCACAGGGGGCAGGTCTGGCTTGGCTGGGGAAGCTGCTGCTGAGCAGCTGGGCAGGGAAGGGCACAGCTGGGGGAACAACTCGCTCAAATTACCTTTTTTATTCCAAACTGCAGGTTTTCCCCTCAATCCATTAGGTAAGGGATTGCTTCCACTTCACTGAGGGAGCAGGAGCACGTGGTGACTGGGTGGAAATAAATACACTGGGAAGTGTAAATGCTGTCCTGGCTGAGGCTGTGGGGTGTCTGGGGCTCTGGGCACGCTCCTCCCTGGTGCTGGGGCAGCATCCAGGGCTAAAGAAACCGCATTCATGTTCTTTCCCTAAGAGATAAAAGTGGAAAACTGAGCATTTTGTCTTGTGATGTGTTCTGATGGATCAGCAGCAGAAATCACGATGCAAAGCTAACGCTCTGATTGCATTAACAGTCAGATAAAGTGTAACAAACTGGAATTTTCCTGGCTGTGTGTCACTGGGCCCAGCCCATCCCCTCTCCCCCTCACTGCAGCCCCACTGCTGTTTTTCTCATGTTTTCCAAAGTTCCCTTTTCCTTTCCCCCTGGCTTGCAGGCATCCTTGTGAGCAAGGCAGAGGATGTGTTTGCAGAGGTGGATTTAGCTTCCTGAAACCCAAATGTCACATTTCCACTTTGCTGTATAAAGTGGCAGCGTAATTCTATTTACAGATGGCTACCAAAAAAAACAACCTAAAACACAATAGCCAAAAAAAGAAGCAGCAGGATTTCTTCTAGAAGCCTCCAGCCAACCATGATCATCTCCCCCTGATTTCCAAGGTTGGATGGGTCACTGGGGTGGCCAAGTCTGGCTGTTCTGAAGGACTTTTCTCCACGCTGGGAGGTGGGGGAGGAAGAGGAAGGGCAGTGTTGTGCTCTTAGCCATGTTTTTCTTTTTTTTTTCTCCTGCTAATTTTTTGGAGCCTGAATCTCACCCTGGCAGCGGTGGATCTGTGAGCAGGTTGCTGGTGACGCCTTTAAAGAGGAATAAATGTATTTTGTAGGGCTTATTGCTTGCTGATGGGTTGGAAGGTGCTGACACAACGTGCTTGGCTTGTGCACGTGGGGTCTGGCTTTGTGTGTGTTCACTGATATGATGAAAATATGCAATAACTCAGTAAGACTTTAAGATCTGAACCTGTCCAGTTTTCTATTGCCCTTAGCAGCTCTTTCTGATTTAATTACCAGGGTTATCAGGTGGTCCTGTCCCTTTGTCAGCAGCACCTTCAGAAGTCAAAGTGTCTGGAATAGTAGATGGGAATTATTCAGTTCCACTGCTTCCTGTTGCTCACTCCCTTTCACCTTGAGGATGACAATTTAGTAGCCACTGTATGATAGAATGATGGAATTGTTAAGGTTGGAAAAGGTCCTCTGAGATCATCAAGTCTAGCTGTCAACCCAGCACCACCGCCACGGTGACCACTGCCCCATGTCCCCAAATGCCACATCCACACAGCTTTTAAATCCCTCTGGGGGTGAGGGCTCCACCACTGCCCTGGGCTGGACAGCCATTTCCATGAAGGGATTTTCCCTTGAGCCCACCCTAAACCTCCCCTGGCACAACCTGGGGCTGTTTACTCCATCAAATGGTAAGGCAGGCCCATGCCCTTTCTTTTACACATTTCAAAGCATAAACCACGTGTCACTGGATTGTTAGAGACCCCAGTGGCTCCGTGCAGCCCCAGTTACCCGTGACTGGTGCCAGTGTCTCTCCCTCACTCCCTGCAGGGATGACGTGCCAAGCCAGGACGTCCTACACGGAGGACGAGGTGCTGTGGGGCCACCGCTTCTTCCCCGTCATCTCCCTGGAGGAGGGCTTCTTCAAGGTGGATTACTCGCAGTTCCACGCCACCTTCGAGGTGCCCACCCCGCCCTACAGCGTGAAGGAGCAGGAGGAGATGCTGCTCATGTCCTCGCCCCTCATCGCGCCCGCCGTCGGCAACAGCAAGGAGAGGAACAGCTCGGTGGAGTGCCTGGACGGGCTGGACGAGGTGGGCACGAAGCTGCCCTCCAAACTGCAGAAAATCACCGGCAGGGAGGACTTCCCCAAAAAACTCCTCAGGATGAGCTCCACCACGTCGGAGAAGGCCTACAGCATGGGGGACCTGCCCATGAAACTGCAGCGCATCAGCTCGGTGCCCGGCAACTCCGAGGAGAAGCTGGGCTCTAAGACCACCAAGATGATGTCGGATCCCATGAGCCAGTCGGTGGCCGAGCTGCCGCCCAAGCTGCAGAAGCTGTCGGGGGGCGGGAGGATGGAGGGGAACCTGCCCCCCAAACTGCGCAAAATGAATTCCGACCGCTTCACATAGCCCAGGGCGCCCGGGGCCACCGCGGGGAGCTGCGACTGCTCCGGGGAGGGCAGCGGGGCCGGGAGGGGCCCTGGCACCGGCACCGGGGGGAAGGGGGTGCGGAACTCGGAGGTCCGGAGGCAGGAGATGCCCCCCTGGGCGGCGCCGGGGGCGTTGGCATGTACCATCACACCACGCATGCGATACCAGTGTGCCATCCCTGCATATCGTCCTGTGGCATGACTCCCACTGTAGTGACACTGTACAGCCCCAAAAAAGCGGGGAGGGAGGGGCCCTCCCCTCCCCCCCCACCCCGTACCCCTGAAGGAATAGGGACAACATGCGAGCGGGGAGCTTTCAGGGTAAGTTATGACTTGATTCGGGTTTTTTTTTTTTTCTCCTCTCCTGGTGTGGGTCGTGACGATTTGTCCAACCAAGTATTTCTGGTGCATGTCTGTTCTTTCTTCGAGGGAGGTGTGTTAGTGAATTCCTGACACCGACTCTGCTGGCCTTAAATCAACTGCTGGTTTCTGGTTTGCTTTGAGGTTTTCTTGGGGGTTTGTTTCCCGGGTCAAAGCTACTGGGAAAAAAAAAAACCAAATCTGTGTTTCATATGAGGCTTTGTTTAGAGAAGAAACTTGTATTTATAAGTCTAGGCAAGACAATAAATAAATCAATAAAATTCACACTTTAGATACGATTAGTAACAACTTTTTAAACCCTTGTGATTTATAATGTATGTGCAGGAAAGCCGTTTGAAATAAGCAGGATGTGCTTGCTTTCTCATGTTGATAACATAGCTGGACATGAAACAAGCTGAATGCCTCCACGAAGCCAAGCAGGCTCCTCTGCTGGATGAACTGCACCCCAAAGGCAGAGCCACCTGAGTTCCCCCTGTCCCTCCAGGCTCGGATTTCCCTCCTCTTGCTGTGCTGGCAGCTGGGCCAGCAGCCCTGCAGGCCGTGGTGGTCCCCAGCCCGGGTAGGCTCCTTGCTGCTTTTGCTGTGGTGGAAACGATGTTTGACCGTGCTCTGAACTGAAGTTGACCCTGTGGGTTTCAAAATGAGTAATACTTTGTGTAAATGTTGGGGTTGGTGTCCTCTGTGCTCTTGGGTTTCCTTTGCCCATCCCGTTTGGCTCCGGGGTGGGCTGGGTGTTGTGTGGGTGCCCCGTCATGGTGTCTTCTGCTGGGGGAGCACCCTCCCCAGAATTCCAGAGGTCAGCTGTTGAGGTGCCCGTGGATCCTGTGGGCTGTGTTTGGGGGCCCATCCTTTGGCTGTTTCCTGGAGCAGGAGGTCTGGGATGGATGGAGCCGTTGGTGGCACCATCGGTGGTCTGGGTAGGAAAGCTGCTGCCAAGAGCACCGGGAGGAGGGCCCTGTGGGATGTCCTCTGCGTGTAAAACCCTCTGGACCACATCCAGGTGGTCCCAGGCGTGGACAGGTGGGGGTCAGAGGAGCACCCGTGGCTTCATTAATGGATGGGCCCTTCTGGCTCCCAGGCCCTGGCCCATCCTGCACAAATGCTGGCACGTGCTACCCAACTGGTTACAGATCTGATGGTCTTGGAGGGGAAAAGGGGGGGTCATTAGAAATGTTGGCATGGAGCAAGAAGCCTGAAGCCCAGCACTGCTGGGGGCTGGCTCAACTTTCCTTGGAAGTTACAGTGTGTGACCTGTCAGTTGTACACCCAAGGACTTTGTGTGAGCTTCCAAAGTTCCTTTCATCATTTCTCCCCCTTTTTGAGTGGCCCTGCATGTTCTTCCCACCCGTGGCTGCCCCTCAGTGCTCTGCACGTTGCTGTGAGGGGCAGGGCTGACCTGTGCTCCACACGTGCTCAGCCACGGGAAAACCTGGCCTTGTGCTCCCCCTTTTCCCCAACTCTCCTTCAGGTTGTCTTGTAAACTACCCCTGACTTTTGTGGCTGTTCTCCCAGCCCTTGGCTGGCACCAGGAATAGCCATGTCCCGCTGCCAGGTGTCCCCAGCAAAGCCACCACCCAGCCCGGCCCAGCGAGCCAAGGGCGCTGCCCAGCCTGGGCACAGGGGTCTGGCTGGGAAAGGAGGGTCTCCAGCAGCTCCACCCCTCCCCAAAGCTCCTTTGGTTTATTGGGGTGGGTGGGGAGCAGTGGCTCCTTCTGGGGGCTGTCACAGTGTGACCCAACCAGCCACTGCCCTTGTGTGACACTGGACTGGCTGGTCATTGCAGGTCCCTTCCAAATGAAATACTCTGTTCTTATTCTAGTCTAGTTCTGTCCTCTTCTTAATCTATTCTATTCTTATTATTAACCTATTATTGTTCTTATTTATTCTATTTTCTTATGCTTGGTCTATTTTTATTCTATTCCTAATATATTCTATATTCTATTCTTATTCTATTAATTCTATTCGTATTCTATTCTCTATTCTTATTCTTGATCTATTTTCTATTCTTTGTTCTAATTGTATGTTCATTCTATTCTATATTCTCTGTTTATTCTAGTCTCTATTTTATTCTATCCCATCCCATTTTATTCCCTCCTGGTTTGTTCTGTTCCATCCCCTGCTCTGCTGCAGTTCTGTGAGTGGTACAGGAGCTCAGGTGCAATTTGGGGTCCCCTGGGGTGTCCCACCTTGTGCTGAGCTCTCCTGCCAGCGCCCTGGGATGGCTGATGGTCCTCTTGGCTTTTCTCTGTGTCCCAGGGCCTCGTGCATCCTGCCTGCCCAAATCCAGGGGTTCCCATTCCGGCAGCAGGAGAGCCAAGTGGCCTTTTCCTTTGGGAACCCTCGTGCTGAATGTGTGGACAGAGTGAATGAAGTAGGAGCCACCTGGGTGTGCTCCCCAAACTGGACTGTGAGCAGGTGTCAGGGAGCTGGAAAATGTCCCACCAGTGTGGGAGACACTGGAGAAGGGGCCTCGTTTTTATTAAATTAATGCCATGCAAATACTGAGCCGTGATTTAATTTTTCAACTCCAAGCACTCCCCCGTCCCTGCTGAGTACAGAGTCCCCCAGGTCTGGGGGCTGCTCTGAGGTGACAATGAGGTAAAGTACAAACATGGACAACGACTTGTCTTTAGTTAGTTATTTTAGGAAGTCACTTGTGGTTAATATTTCATTTTTTGTTGGTGTGGGCACTTTGTTTTTAACCAGTTACCATTTGAGCCCAGCCCTGACGCTTCTGCTAATTTAAGGTACTGTTTGATTGCACAGCCGGTCTGTGTCTCCTGCTGAATTTACGCTCGAATTCTCCTGGAAATTGTACATATTGAAATCAAATAAAGAAACAAAGAAATGCATTTTCAGCATGCAGCCTCTCACTGTATCAATGGACACGTTGATCCAGAAGAACAAACTCTTGTATTAAAGCTGCAAGCTCGGTTTTATCTAAAGCTCTATTAAACTTTCACCAGCTGGTGGGTTTGAAGGTGTTTGCTGTTTCTCCACTTTTTAGCACCTTAATAAAGGACTTTCAGCTGCTCAGTTCCCTGATCTCACGTTTGGTGGTGTGCTGAAAGTCTGCCTCTTCACTGCTCCTGAATGAGCAAAAATAAAGCTGCGTTTTCAGGGTCTGTATATTCATTTCTAAAGGGCCATTTCCCTTGGCAGGGAGAGCTCGGATTTCTTATCTCCCCAATCCAGCCCCAGGAGCTGAAGCTCCACGAATCCAGAGGGGCTGGCAGAGAGCAGCCTTTCCTCTGCTTTTTAGTACAAATTGCCCTGTTTGGGCTGGGCAGCAGCACTCGGGGAGCAAACTGGCATTATTATTATTATTATTATTATTATTATTATTATTATTATTATTATTATTATTATTTTATTAAAACAGAGTGGCTAGACATTAATATTATTAAATAATATTTCTATTCTATATATTATTATATAGATATATTTCTAGTATCTAATATTAAATAATATTTCTATAATTATTCTATAGATATATTTCTAGCATCTAATATTAAATAATATTTTTATTACTATATATTTATAACAATATATGTATGTATATAGTATATATTAGTGTGTGTGTATAAATATACACTATATATACTATATATGGCTATGGATATATATAGTATATCTATTTTAATGTATAGACATTTTAATTATATTATATATGATATAATATCTTGTATATAATAATATATAATAATATTTAAATATAGTGGTAATAACAGTGATGATGATAATAATTAATAATAATAATAATCATATAACTCAGAGGGTGGGGGTTGGAATAAAGTGAATTATTTGGACTTATGTGGGGATATGAAAGTGGAATTGGGAGTAGATCTGAAATGCTTCTGTAGGAAACACAGGGAGGGAAGAGGAGAATTCCTGGGATAAGAGCTCAAAGGGGAATTTCTCCTCCTCCGTGTGCTGAGGGAAAGGAAGAGGGGAATTTAAACACCCTTAAGTGAGGTGTGGGGGCTGAATTCCCACTTGCAGGTGATTTGGGGTTTGTTTAACCCCTCTCCAGGACACCCCGATGCCAGAAGGACGTGGAGCTGATGGGGAGTGTCCGAAGCGGGACCCAGGGACGGGGAATGCGCGGAGGGGCCCTGTGAGGGCACTTGGGTTGTCCAGAGGAGAAGAGGGGACACTGCTGGGGGTGCAGCAGCGATTCCTACAGCTCAGATTTCCTTGCTAATTCCCATTTCTTCCCATTCCCGCTCTCCAGACTCGGGCATTCCCTCCCAGCCCGTGGTCCGTGGGTTCAGCGGGGCGTGCTGGGCAGGCCTTGGCCTCGTTCCAGGGCGGCTGCGTGCGAAGGGAGCCCGTGACAGATGGAACAGGGACAGAAACCTGGAGACTTTTCCCTTGGCATCTCCTGCCAGGGCCTGGGAAGGCTCCAGGCGGCCTTTCCTTAAGAGTTCCTGGAGCCCGTCAGGAACAAGGGTAAAAAAACCCCAATCCAGGCACGTCCCAGCATTGTCAGGAGGATGCTCAGGGTGAACACCAACACTCCACTGCGGGGAGGAATCACATCCCATCATTTACACTGATTTACAGAACGGATAAATCCACACTTTTTAACGAAACTAATTTAATTTTTAAAACAATAAATTAACCCAGCTCCCATTTAGGACAATAAAAGCGAACTTGTTTTGTTCTTCTCTCAGGCAGCGCATTACAAATTTATGCTTTGATTTTCATGCAAATTGGCGGAAAATGTCAACATGTTTACTCGGATTTATTGTCGGATAACACGTCGTTCCTCTAGTCCCGAAATTGTCCCTGCTAATCAGCAGAAGTGGCAATGGGTGGAGGTTGAGGCAGTTTAAAATAAACGTGGGAAGGTTTTTCCAGCTCTCATTCCCGTTCGACGGTGCCTCCACGAGGGACAGATGGAAGCGACGGGACACGAGGGATCCCGGCAGGGGCACCACGAGGGCGGGAGCAGAAACCCCACGGACACGCCCGGTCCTTCCATCTCCCCACCAAACCTGCTCCAAACGTGCCTCCAAGGAGCAGGGAGTGGAATCCTCAACACCCACGGCCCCGTGGAATGTTCTGGAAGGAATTCTCATCCCCTCCCAGGGAACAAGGCACCAGCTGAAATGCCTTCCCAGCGCTGTTGATAAACACTCAGGCAACACAATGGCCCCTTCCAAAGGCAAAATTTAGCATTTAATATTAAAAAAAAAACCCCAGAAACAACATTTTCTTGTCAAGACCAATTCTTAATTTTTATGTAATATTGGGAATGTAGCTCTTATAAATTCGAGGTGTGAGTCAGCTCCATTGCAGGCATTTTATATTTTATTTTACATTTCATAATTCGTATTTACTTTGTATTTTTTATATTTAAAATTTTTATTTATTTTGTATTTCATATTTATTTCATAATTCATATGTTACACTTTACATTTCATAGCTTTTATATTTTACATTTTTATTTTATATTTTTTAATTTATCTCTCACATTTTATATTTTATTTTATATCTTCTATTTGATAGTTATTTTCTATTTAATATTTTACATTTATATATATTTTATATTTTATAGTTTTATTTTATGTTTTATATTTCATATTTCATATTGTATATTTATATTTTATATTTTACATTTTACAATTTATATTCTGTATTTTATATTTATTTTATACTTTATGTTATATGCTTTATAATTGTTTTATATTTTATTTTTATGTCATTACTTTTAATTAAATTTTATTTTTTATTCTATATCTAACATTTTCTGGTTTATTTCATATTTTCTATTTTCTATGCATTCATTTACCATCCTGCACACACACACACACAAACACAGAGGAAATGTGACCCAACCATGAGGCCTCCACACAGAACCTTTGACACTTGCATAGTTGATGTGGTTTTTATGTCTTTATATATTTATTTATTTATTATTTATTTTTATATTGTTATATTTTTATATTTTTATAATTTTTATATTTTATGCTTTATATTTATTTAGTATTTTATATTTATGCCTTACTACTTTTAAAACATTTTAATTTTAAAACATTATTATTAATTTATTATATATTTTATTTTTGTCTTGTTAGGTTTTATTTTTTTTATTATTTTATATCTTCTGTTTTGCATTTTCTAAGCATTCATTTACCATCCTGCACACACACACATTTTATATTTGACCCAACCATGAGGCCTCCCCACAGAACCCTTGACGCTCTTGCACAGTTGTTTTATTTATTATTTTGTATTTTCTAAGCATTCATTTACCATCCTGCACACACACACACACGTTTTATATTTGACCCAAGCACGAGGCCTCCCCACAGAACCCTTGACACTCTTGCACAGTTGATGTGCTTCCTATGATCTTTTTATCTTTATTTAATATTTTACATTTTTATATTTTTATTATTTTTATATTTCATGCTTTATATTTATTTAATATTTTATATTTATGCCTTATTAATTTTTAAAACATTTTAATAAAAAAATTATTAATTTTTTTGTCTTATTAGTTTTTATTTTTATTTTTTATTATTTATATCTTCTGTTTTGTATTTTCTAAGCACTCATTTACCATCCTGCACACACATACACCTTTGACCCAACCATGAGGCC